GGGCTCACCTCTCATAACCTCTGGACATCACTAGTGACCCTGTTTTCCAGTGATATTTTATTTATGGGCAGTGCTATCGACACAATTCTCCCGTCGCCGGGGATGCCAGAGCGGAGTAATTGCTGTGTTGCCACCGGCGGCTATACCCCGGGGACAGACTTTTGATTTTGGCGAGTACTGTACCAGTGCGGTGGGTAGCTCGGTGCGCTGCGCTGGCGCCGTGTTCGCCCTGTCGTACTTGGCTGCCCGCCGTGCGGTGCCCGGGTACCTGTTCTGGATGATCTTGGTGGGTGGGGGAGGAGGTCCATCTGCTTCACCGGGTTCAGCCTCTCTTTGCTAGGGGTCGTACCGTGCCGTGTGCATATCACAACATCGATAGTGCCATAGTCTATAGACCAACATACTGGTAGGGTATCATACTCAGACTTTATCCTCACAGCTCCTAACTATAACAAGCGACCACCGGTAGGCAAGTAAACAGATGAGTAGGTAAAAAACACATGTCCGGATTCTATTCCCCCACACAGTGCCATACATAGAAACGGAAAAACGAATAAGGGAACGGGAAATACAGGTACTGTCCTTTTTTTAACGTCGGAATACCGTGTACCCAAGACACAAAAAATAGGCTAAACCGAGTGTGGAAGAAAATCTTACCAAGGGCACGTGATCTTGAAAATAAGCAACGCAAGCTAGCAAGTCTTGGCGCACGGATGAGGAGATGGCGATGAAGCGTGTCTTGATTGTTTGTCGCTCTTGTCTGGTTCCTGAATTTTCTTTTTTAAACTTATCCTGCCTGAGGCTCTTGAAAAACGCACGACGATCCCATCGCCTTAACACTAACTCACTGATAGACCCGGTTTTCCGGGACGGGCAGAACAGGTTGTACGTTAGGCACCTAACGGTTAACAGGGAACAAACCGGAGCCCGAACGGGACGAAGGAGAAAAACGCCTCGGTAGGGCTGGAACACAATCATGTCTTCCGAAGGGCGAAGGTCGGAGGAAAGGAAGGAGGATGGGGAGAATACCACTGGTAGTGGGGGCAAGACCAAGGTTTCTTCACAGACGAGTGCTTTCCAGTCCGCTGTTGCCGCTTGGAGAGGTTTGTTCGCTCTCCAGTTTCTGTCTTCCGCCTCCCCTGAATGGGATGGGATGGGATAAGGTGAGGAAGCTAATGTGGGGATGGGAGGGGTGGGGGGTAGATATCGATCTCACAACACTACAAAAGAGCCTCGATGCTACTGCTACGGAAATCGTTAGTTCACAGAAGGATGGACTTATTCAGCGGAAAGAGCTGGCGCAGAAGACGAAGGAGTATAGGAAGCTTGATGAGGAGGCTAGAAAGGAGGAGTGGAAAGGGTTATTGAAATGTTTGTCCTTTCTATCACACCCTTTTCGTCCTTGCGATGATGGATGGGTAAATGCGGTTTGCTGAGACTGGCGGATGAGTTAGCATATCAAATGTTCATTGACCATTTGAGCACTTCCAAGAAGGCCACCGAAAATTCCTTCTTGTCGGTTTACTCCTCCCTCTCCGAAGCCCCCGACCCGTACCCACTTCTCGAGGCTACGATCGATTCGCTACTCTCCCTATCCGACATGCAGTCCCTCAACCGTGAGAATTCCTCTTTAAATGCCACAGTCGCTCGGTTATCCGGGCAGGTGTCCAACCTGGAGGCCTCAGTCCATGCGAAGAACAGAGAGCTTGAGAAGAGAGAGAAGGAACGAGAAGAGGAGGTCAAGAAGACCGAAGAGGTCTGGAGGGGAGTTCTCGACGAGAAGACGAGGAATTGGGAGGGGAAGGAGAAGGCCCTTATGGAGAAGTTGCAACATCAGGAGAGCGTGCTTAAAGAGATTAAAGCGAGCTATGAAGTTGCGCAGCGCATGGGAGGTTCTGGTGGGGGCGCCGGTGGTGAGGAGGATGTGCTTGTCAAGGAGCGCACGGCAGAGTTGGAACTTGTCTCCAGTGATCTTGAGAGGACTACGCTACGGTTAGCACAGGCGGAGGCTAGAAATGAGCAATTGAGGGCTGAGCTGGCTAGTGCGAAGGATGGGATTGTGAGTGAAGCGGAGGAGAAGAAGGATGAAGAAGATCCTATCATTGCGCGCCTCCAAGAGCAGAACTCGGATTTGCTTAGGAAGGTGGAGAATGCCCGCTCTGATGGTGAGGGTCTGAAGAGAGAGTGGGAGCGGAAGATTAGAACCTTGGAGCGCACAGCTGAAGCACTCAGGAGGGATAAGGATACACTCAAGGAGAAGGTGAGGAAGTGGGGAGATTATGAAGAGGTGCGGAGGGAGTTGGAGATTCTGAAGGTTTGTCCTATGCTTTTTGAAAGCCCCCGGATTTGGAACTTTAGCTCACGTGGCGCAGTCTATTGAATTCTCCACTGGGGACGACGAGGGGGAAGCGGATGAGTTGCTGGATTTCTCAAGAACAGGGACAGCAGACAATGGCAGTGCTATAAATGGTGGCAAAGTTAAGGGTGATAAGGAAGAAACTCTGGAGCAGCTCCTTCTAGCTCGTAATAAAAAACTCGGAAGTGACCTGACTCTCCTCCGGGTCTCCCGCGACGAGCTCTCACAACAACTCCGCACCCTCCAGCAGGCTCTTGACTCGACTACCTCGGAGCTATCTTCCTCCAGGGCACTCAACCAGAAGCTTGAAGATGACCTGCTGAAGTTCCAACAAGAAACCCAACACTCTGCTATGTCCGTAGCGGGTACCTACGTCTCCCGGTACCCTGCCCAATCCATCGCTCAGGGCTCCCACGCTAGCCGCACCCGGGCCTCCCCGACCTCTCCAATAATCTCTGGTGCAGTCCCCCATGCGTCCTCCTCCACCCAGCTCTCGCTCGAGTCCATCCGCACCGGCGAAACCCAAAACGCTGGCATCCTCCCCATGATCACGGCGCAGCGCGACCGCTTCAAGGCCAAAAACACCCAACTAGAAGACGAGCTCTCGCGTGTGCAAGCCACTGTCTCCAACCTCCGACAGGAAGTCGCCTCACTGCAAAAGGACAACCTCCAACTTTACGAGAAGACTCGTTACATCCAAACGTACCGCCAACCCCCAACACTAAGCACCACCAACACCGCCGCCAGCTCCGGTTTTGGCACAAATGTGAACCCATCCTCGACTCTCCACCCGTCCAACACCTCATCCTCCTCGTCGGGCAATCCCATAGACAGGTATAGGCAGGCCTATGAGTCGAATATATCCCCCTTCGAGGCCTTCCGCGGACGTGAGACGGCTAGGGCGTTTCACCGTATGGGCATGCTCGAAAGGCTGATTTACTCGTTAACAAGGGTTATATTGGCGAATAGATTGAGCAGGAATTTGTTTGCCGGGTACTGTCTCGCGCTGCATGTCCTTGTGTTCTGTGTCGTTTGGTATTCGGTGATTGGAGAGGTGGATAGGCATGGCGCCGCCGGGATGGCGGCTGCGGGGGCGGGGATTAATGCTGGCGGTGGCGGTGGTGTGGGCGCCGGGGCGGGGGCATTTGAGGATGGAGAATGAGTTAGTGGGTGGGGGATTTCAGATGTGAGTAGGAGGGAAGGAAGGAAGGAAAAGGAAGGGTAGGCTTTCTTCTTTGCTATGCTATACTTTGTATATGTATAATGTTTTTATTAGTGGCGGTGGCTTTTGGGTTGTTTTGTTCTTGTCCATAAAGGTGGGTAATTGACGCACTATGATTGCCGGAAATGATTGGCACTTATTTTATTTTAGAGTGAGCGCGGGGCGAAATACAACCATTGTAGTGTATTCGATCTATGACAAGAAGAGGGTATCTAAATTGCGAAGGAAAGCTGACCGAGGAAAAAAGAACTCGACATGTGTTATCCACCCTCCAACTTCCCCACCTCCTACCCTTCCGCCGCTCCCTCATATACGGACAAAGACAAAAGACAAAAAGAACAAAACTCCATCTGCATGCAACCCGCTACAAAAGAAAACTACTATTTTTCTGTACTCATCAAATCCCCCCCACCAGCAGCTCCGGCAGCTCCAAACTTCTCCACCACTTCCTCATCACTAGTAACACTTCCACTGCTCCCACCGTAGTCATCATCGAAAAAGACCCTGCCTTGGTTCCCCATTTCCTCTAGTACGTTGGTGCTGCTGCGGTTTCCGTCCAAGTTGGTTGAGAGCTCGGTGGGGGACCAGGGGAACCATTTGAAGTTTTTCTTCCCCCGATCCCCGGGAGGAGGGGGAGGGGGACAGGGAGGAGGAGCGAGAGGAAGAAGTGGTGGTTTCCTCCCCCGCGCTCGACTCCTAGCGACGGGTTCAGTCTTCCCCGCGCCACGCGTGACCCTCCGTCCCCGCTCGACAGCCCTCTCGACCACCAGCCTATTCCTGACGAACTCCAATTTCGGAAAGGTACACCTCTGCCCCACCTCCAGCATCCTGCGCAACCTCTCCACCGTCGGGTCAGAGAGTATATACCAGAAATCGCTCATCCTCGTTCTCGGCCAGATTGTGATGTTCCCGTCGAACTTTTGCAGGAAAACGCTGCTCCAGTCCTGACTTAGCGGTCTGGGCAATAGCTCCAAGTGTCGGAGGACTTTTAGCCATTTCGCCATGTCGAGTTTTAGGTATTGCTCTAACGCGGAACCCAAGAATCCCCCGCGCCAACCTTTCCCTTTCCGGTGGGTCACCGGACGGCCGACCGAGCCGCGGGGCGAGAAGAAGAAGATGTTCACGTGCGGGTTTACTTGCGAGACTATGCTGAAGGTTACGTTGAAGTACGTGTTTAGTGCGCGGAGTGGGATGTCCGTGCGGAGCGAGCCGTCTTTCCATTTGTGGCCGAAGGAGAAGGGGGTTATTGTGAAGGGGTGATGCGGGGTTTTGGTCATCAGGACTACGGGGTTGAGGATGCCCGGGACGGCGGCGGAGGCGAGAACTGCGGAGAAGATGCAGCAGTCTGGCGCTGTGAGGTAGTTTAGGAGGAGGGAGGGTCTATATGGGAGGGGAGGGTATGTTAGTTTGGTTGGTATATTGGGAGGGGACGGGGGGGGGGGACGAACGAGTGGGGATCGGAGGGTATGCAGGAGATGTTTAGGATTCGTCCCGTGCGTTCATAGGCTTCTTTGAAGGTTAGGCTTCCACGCGTGAACCAGCAGAGGCGTCGGGCCCAGTCTACGCTGTCGAAGCGCGCACCGGTCTTCCACCAGCGGCGGAGCCAGGTCTGTATGCCTTTGTTAGTGATTGTAGGGGAGGGGGGGAAGGAGATAGAGCGTACAAACATATCATCATGGCATGCAGTGATTTTTTGGGCCAGCGCTGGGACCAGTAACTTCTTTAGTTCCTCGCCCGTTCGAGTGCAGACTAGGGCGGCGACAAGCGCTCCCCCGGACGTCCCTGTGATGACGGTTGGCAGGAGGTCGGCATCTAGGTGTGCCTTTACGACACCAAAATGATAATAGCTAGAGGAGCTTCGTAAGTGATGATTCGTGGGCAAGTACCTAAGCAAGGGCAATATACGCAAAGCTGGCACCGCCAGAGAGGCACAAAGCCGTTCGCCCATAGTTGCTGGACAGATGCTTGAACATCGCTCTCTTCTCCTCCATATCCAAGGAATTGGTCTCGAGCAAGAATTTTAAGCTCTTCTCAACTACTCAATATTAGAACCTTATAAACGGATGGCATGCGCAATGGTCCAACCATACCTTCTCGAATAAACTCCTGCACTCGATCCTTGGTCCCATAATACGTCTGCGAGTACATCCTGAAGCTCTCGATCCCGGCAAAGTTACTCTTAACGCAAGCCTTCACGAGCTCCCTAAGCTCATCCACAGCTCTATTCTTGCTGGTCGTGCCTTCGCCGCCATTAACACAACCATTCCTCTCCTCCGAGTTTGGCTGACTATTCCCGTCCGCCATGCTCCGGGCTCGTTCCTCTTCCTCGGCTTTCTGTCGAAGACGCCATAGGTTTGCCACAGCCTTCCTTATCGTCGAGTAGTCATAGTAGGCAAACGCATCTTCGGCCTTCCAAGTGTCAGCGCCGAGATAGCTATCCAGCTCCTTGGCCGCAAGTTTCCACTCCTCGTAATTCTTTGTCGAGCGTAATTTCCGGCGAAGGCGCTCTCGTCGCCCGCGCCAGGTTATCCAGTACTCGTATTGGGAGATGTAGAAGCGGGTCATGATGTAGAGGATTCTGATAATACCCCGGGTCAAGTAAGCAAGTAAGCACTTGGGGAAAGCGGGGGAGACCCACGAAAGGATAAGGATCCAGGCAAACACAATCGCCAATAACGGCCATTTGAGCAGTTGGTAGACGAAGCCTTCCCTCGTCTCGTCCTTCCCTCTCCTGGGCTGCTTCTTCGGCCGCTTTCGCCGGATCCGCTGGTGGATCGGCTTCCAGTCGTTCAGGGCCGTGATGAAGTCTTCGTCCGTGGCGTCGGGTGCGTTGACGGCCTTTTCGAAGGCGGCGATGTCTGGCGTGGAGTGTCAGGGTTGAGGGAGTGAGGAATGAGTGGGACAAGCTTACCGGCTTCGTTAACAAAGTCCGTGTTAAAGTCTGGTAGCTCCTCCTCGTCTTTTCCTTCTCTCTCTCTACCCTGCTTCTTCTGCCGCCTCGGCTCGTGGGGCCTGTCCCAGCCCACCATCCTGATCATGGCTGCTGCAGTAACTCACTCACTCAACTACTCATTCACTCTTGGTATCGTCAAGGTTGCGATGAATGGGGATCTCAAGGCGATTCGCGAACCGGGAATCGCGGAACGAAGGGTTGGCCACAGGTCCCAGATGCTGGGGATGGCACGAGGGGGAGGAATGTGGTTCCCCAACCTTGCGTCACTCGCTTGATCAACCGGCCGGAACCTGGACCCTGCTCCGGTCACGCTCCTCTCTTTTCTTTTCTTTTTGGCTTGTTGTGGAGGGCGATCAGCCGGGGGTTGGCTGTCGCATTGGAGAACGGAAATGATTGGTTACTCAGCAGCGGTCCCGTTCAAATATGGAAGGTGTCCTTTTCACAATTCTTGATTCTGAGATTCCTCGTGGGATCTGCATGTTACTGTGCCAGTGCCGGGGTGCTATCGCTGGGGAGATCTGGGCGGGGGTCCTATGATTTTGGATTCCGGGAAGCGTGTGTACCTTGAGTTAGATGCTGGCCTTGGTGTTGTGCTCGGGTGCTCGTACTCGGGTACAGTACCGGCACGAGTACTAGTACATGGGTAGGGCGGAAAAGCTGGCACCGGTATGATATCAATACTTGTAGGCAGGGCTGGTCCGGTCTCGAGTGAATCCGCCTTCAAGGGCTCGATACCCCTGAATTGAAAGTTACCCTGCCTTTGGCCGGTGGACTCTTTGAGAATGATATCGTACTCGTGAAGTACCCCCGAAGAACTATTGTTTACTGGTTGGCCCAACACCGATAGTCTACCATACTATTATAATAACCACCAAGCTGATATAGCGCTAGCCTTTTATGGCACTCTATCGTACTCGAGTACGGCTGTTCTCATTCTGCCTAATTTACGAGCCACAAAGGGTGGACCCACTCGTCCTATTGTGCTCGAGTGCATAGCAGCCCAAAGCGAACCCTCCCTACCCTATGGACCATGTCTGCATGGACAGGTATCTGGATGCTGGTATTGCGCATAGGGGCTGCAATAGAGTCAGTGCATTGGCTTTTGCTGAGGTAGCCACCTATACCGTGCTCGGGTACTCGAGTACTTGTACATTGGCGAGTCTTCCCAACATGGCCTTTCCCAACTCGTCACAAGGATCGCGGGAGCACTGCAGTCACGAGTGGAGTTAGAGAAGTCATTAGTGTAGCAAGGATACAATACGGTAGCCCTAGAAGGCGTCCCACTGCCCCCCCCGCGCTACGTACGCCCTCCCGCGGCCGGGGGCTCACAAAGGAGGCTCAGCGCGAGGAGCATGATTGCCGGCACATGGGGGACAAAGGTAATGCCCCGGGGGTGCGATATATCCGGCTGGTAAGATAGGCTCTCCCTGGCATGCTTCCTGGAATTCGAAGCCGGGAATGTGAGGGAAGCCGTTTAACTTTCCGGTAACTTGGTACCGCACTGTACGGGTGCGTGTGGCGAGGTTCCGACAGGCTTGGACGATGGGTGCGATGGGCATGTCTAAAAGTTTACATGCGATAGATAGAGTGCTTCCGCTTGTATAGTTATGCACGCTGGACCGTGGATATCGGTAAGCCGCTGGAGTACGGTACTCCTTGCCGGGATGTTGCGCCTTATCCAAGTTGGTTCACCAAAGGACCCAAAGGTTCCACAGCGGCACGTACATCCCAGCACTAACGAATCGAGCCCTCCAGACAAGGCCCGGAATTCCGTGGCCCTCGAAAGTTCTGGTGCCTTTCGGCAATTTTTCCTCCGTCGCTCATTTGTCATCTCTATCCCCAAAGGATAATAAAGCAGGTTCCACGGGCGGTGGCGCGTCGGAATTCCATGCGTAAGGGGTGAACGAGGAGAGCGAAGGGAAAGAAGGAATATCCATATCCAATGGCGCAATCGTGGGCCGCTCAATCTTCCTCACAGTCTAATAACTCCACCGCTGCCGCCGCACCCCACACTACTGCTACCCACTACCCGAAAAGTGCAAATACGACCACCGTGCAGAATGCGCCGTCTCCGTCGGAATTTTTCAAGTGTTCGGTTTGCGATAAGGGATTTGAACAAAGTGAGTTTTCCCTTTTCCCCCCCTATCCGTTTCTTTTCGTGCAGTGCTGGTATTGCTGCATATTTGGCGTTGCCCACTCGCGTACACCCGGCGCGTGCGGAGGGGGAAGGGGAGAAGGAAGGACTTGTACAGTCAGTGCATTGGTACGATTTGGTGGTAGGGGAGGAAGGAAGGATGGGGGCTGGCTGACTTGTTGTATCCGTGCCACGTTTTTGATCTGAATAGGATCATCACGCGATAGACATCAGCGGCGGTGCCGGCAGAAGCAGATATCGGGGACCATTCCCAGGAAGAAGAGCTGTGCGCTTTGCACCCAAGCAAAGACCAGATGTGACCTTTTGACGCCATCCTGCTCGAGATGTAAGGGCAAAGGCCTTGACTGCCACTACTACCACCAACCACCCCCACAACACTCCTACCCCCATCACCATGCGGCAGTGGCAACAATCCCCCTTCGCACGACAACTCTGGTCCACCGCCGCTCTCCCGCCCGCCTTCCGGAAGAAGTCTCCCTCCCAACCCCAGCGCACACAGACAACGGCCTGTCGGAGGAATTCTCGGACGGGAGCCTCCGGCACGATGGTAATCACGGGAGCGGCGGCAACAATAGCGGGATGGGCGACGTGGAAATAACGGACTGGGGAGATATAAACCACAACCTCCTGGAGTGGAACATATTCGCTGGATCAGCCGGGGACATGGAACTCCATAGCGTATGCGGAGTCGGGGGTGAAAGCCCCGTATCACCTCCCTGCGCCTACCAACACCTTTACAATCAGAACCACCTGGGGGACCCCATGGGCCAGCAGATGCGCCTCGCACCGCGGCAGGTATCCATAGAGTCGTTCAAGCAGATGCGTAAGATCCTTGTCGAAAACGTCCCCGCCCCGGGCCCCAAGAAGAAGTTCATCTTCATAGACAGGGTATGCAGGGGGTATCCGAAGATGATGACTGGCAGGAATGGACCCCCGCCGTTTATACATTTGTCCCATCTGGTCCCTGGGAGGATGACGGCCGCACTGGCGAATTGTAGGGGGTTGGTGGATATGTATAAGGCTATGACGCCGGATAATAAATCGTTCGTTATGAAGTCTATTGCGAATGAGCATGGGAGGATATTAGCTGAGGCGGAGGTTGGCCTTCCCGCTTGTGACTACCTTTGCGATATTATGGGGAAGGGTGGGATCTGACATGGGATTTTACTGCTCGCTAGCACGTGCGGACGTATGAAGTGGACAGAGTAGGTGTGCTACAGGCCGCACTTATATACGGACTAATTCGACATTTCGAGAGTGATCCGACGTTTGATAGAACTACTATGGTTTCTATAGAAGTACGTGCATATATTCCTTTAGCGCTCGTAACACCAAGAGTTAACAACCCCTTCCTCCCTCCAGACAATGGCGGTAAACGTCGGCATATCAAGTCTCTTCGCGGAGGGCGAACTAGAGGGCGTGAGGCCAGCCTGGGAAGACTGGATCATAGCGGAATCCAAGCGCCGGTCCGCATCCCCCCCTTCACCCCATCCCCTTGCTAAGTAACTTTGACAGAACAATGTTAGCCCTCTACATGCTTGACGGCTCCTTCCACTACGCTCACAACATCCCAACCTTTACCTGCGGTGAGCTCAACGAGATACTTCTCCCGACCCCCACGGCCCTTTGGCAATCGCGTGAGCGCTCCAAATGGGAGTACGAATACGAGAACTACCTCTCCGACCTTCGCGGCCGGCGACTCCCAAAGATGGCAGACATATTGTCGACCGAGCGAACGTATCTCAACATCGAGGAGTGGGTCGGTGGGATGGATAACTTTGGCGTCACAGTTTTGGCTATGGTGGAGAGTTGTCGGGAGGATGTGCCGGATGCGATTGAAGATGGGGGTGGTGGGGTTTAGAATAGAGGTGGGAAGAGGGGGGGGGGGGGTTTCTGTTTGCGTAGGCGTGCTTCCGGGTTGATTGTTGCTCTATACCAAGATTTCTTCCTTTCTCGACATTGCTTTGCTTAAGTAGTTATTTTTCTGGATCGTCGGTGTTTGGGATGGTGGTATTATCTTGTTAAGGATTATTCTTTTCTTTTCCTTTTTCTCTTTTGTTTACAGTAGCAATCGACTAGATTGGGTCAACTCATTCCCTCATAGGCTAGAGATTATTTTTTGGTTGCGCCTAGGGAAGGAAAGGGGGGGGGAATTAAGGGTCTGCCGAAATCACGGCGGCATCCACATCACCCGGAGATGGGAGCACCCTGGCACTTCGCCCCCGACTGCCGGGGCATAGTCACCGTTGCCCGGACGATGTTTACGGGTATAAAAAAAGAATAGCGCTATACGGTAGTAGGCTATTTATTTTAAGTCGGTTAACCTATCATGACTTTATTGGTAGCGATAGACCCAGCAGCCGGCAGTCAAAGTGCTGCCGATCGTACGAGTGATGGCTTATGCAGGCGCTCGGTGGAGTCGCTAGCGTACTGTCGTGATATTATGATGATTTAGACCGTTTATAGCGTGGCCGCTGGGGGGGCTGTTCTTGGCTTTGTTGCGAGGGATGGCGTAATCGGTGGGGGGGTAATTTCCTCTGGTCATTTGTGCGTGTATCATAGAAATTTGGGAATGGGGGGTGGGTCTTGGTATTTGTGTTCCTTCATGGATGTGGGAGGGTTTAGGCTCAGGAAGGGTGCGATACCATGGGGTGAGAGAAAAGGCTGCGATATCATGCTAGTGTGTGAGGAGGAGGGGGGGGGTCTGGAGGAGTGATGGCGGGGGATTAGAGACGGTATTATTGTGGTGTCATTATGTACACTTTGCACTCGTTCGCCTAGTCAAGGTTGCTATGAAGGAGAGGAAGGGGAGGAAATAGTGGTTATTAAAAGGAGGTTCGATCCCGACTCGGACCTCGTGCCGCATGGTAGTCTCCTTCGAATGCTCAAGCTTCAACCCTATGTTCTAGGAACAGCTCGATAATGGGCACGTCTCCTCTTGCCACCGCTAGACGGAATGGGATCTTCTGCGACGAATTACGAGCACTGGTATTAACCCCCTCCTTCGCAGTAGTTCCGTCGCTGCGCCATAACGCCCCAATTCTACCGTGACATGTAGCGCCGTGCGGCCCCGATCTTCCCTAATATTAAGCAGCACTTCATCCCTCTTCAACAACTCCTTGACATTCGCATCCTCACCACTCCTGGTGGCAACGAGCGATGGCGTGTACCCCGAATGCCTCTGGGCAGTGACATATCATAAACACCTCCTCGTGGTTAGGGCACCACGCTTCTGTCGCCGCAGCGTGCAATGACGTATGCCTATTACCCAGACACCCAAGGTTAACATTGGTCCTTGCGTCCGTCGACGGTATCCGAGCGGCACTCACATTCTCAAGCACGGCAGCCTAGTGCAGTAGTGTAGTCCGGAATCTGCCATAAAGGTTAATTTTCGGGCCCGAATCAACCAACAGAGACATGATGGCCTCGTTGTGCCTGTAGCGAACAGCCTGGATGAGAGGCACACCGCCGCACATGTTCATGTTCACGTCTGGCCTATTGGCTAGTTCTGCGACCACATTTGCGAAGCCGTTCGATGCCACGAATGTAGGGGTGTGCACTGCATGGCGGCGTCGAGACAGTTGGAATCGGCACCGTTGCTCGGCAGGGTCGTCACAACATGGGGGGGGTTCTCGGTCCGGATGGCGTGGAACAGTATGCTGCCGTAGCCCCTTTGTGTTTTGGAGGGTATCCTGAGGATCGGGCGGACGGTGGGGTTGTACCCGTCTCGTGTGCTTGGGGTCGGGTCTTGGGACGATGGGTTCTCTGGGCGTGTTGGTGGTGGGACTTGCGGCCCGCTAGCCTTGCCACATGCGGGGAATGGTGCCTGTGGGAACCATGTGGAGTCTCGAGCCAAGATACTTTGTCCATGCGCTATAGGGAGGAGCGACCTTAGACGCTAGCTGGTTTTTTTGAAGGGATAGGAGGTTTCGGCTGGAGGCCTCGACTGTCGTCAATGTAAACTTAAGGTTAGCGGCTGGCGACATCTGCGGCCCTGGCACCTGTCGCCATAGGGCTATGGCCGTGATGGACTGAACCCTGCGCAACTATATTTGGCATACTGGTAACGAGGGATGGGGGTTTCTTGGTGCGGTGTGTTGTGACAGGGTGGAGGGTAGAGAATTACCGGCGCCTTATTAGCGGCGTCGGATAAGCTTCATCTTGGGCACTGTGGTGGCTAAAATATCAGATCACGGAATTATCCACACGAAAATCCCAATTGACTTGGACCCAGAATCTGATTCCCACCGATTCTCACCAAATTCAATCACTCTTTCTCCGCCACTCAGGCACGCGGGCTTTTTTCCCAGCTGAAGTTTGGAATGTATTCCTCGTACGGTACGGTACTTGATTTGGCACGACCTCTACCTCTCTGCTCCTTGATTCTCTCTGCACATAACCAGCTCGATTACCTGTATTTGTCGCCCTGGCCATACTCTACCTATCGCCCACGGCATACTCTGGGGAGAACCGTCTATCTGCTTAGATGGAATTTTTATCCTTGTTTTTTGTTCCGAAAATCGTAATGGAATGTTGTGTTCCAACTCTTTGTAGCCAGGACTGTAGCTCTCAGGGCTCTGATTTTGACACAATTGCAGGTATCACATCGGCCGCTTCTTGCTGAATTTCAATGTGGCGCTGCCTGCTAGTGCTTGCCGGACGACGGTAATTTATGGGTCTATAGTCGCACCCCCGTTTCGCGGTTGATGAAAAATCCGGCCGGAGTGGACTGTGGGGACAGCGGGACATCAGGGAGAGTGAAATGGTCAAAATCTTCTTTGAAAGATAGTAACGATCGGGATTCAAGTGGTAATTGAGAAGTGGTAACTGGCAGTGTTCCAGACTGGCGGTACGGCCTGATGGAGTGTGGGGTAGTGGCTGAAGGATGCAATGAATGAGCTAAAGATTTCAATAAGCGGTCCGATAGTACTTAGCCCACGATTTCCTTTTCCTATCAATCAACCCTCGTGCTTCCACCTGCAATGCTCTCCTATGGGAGCGAAAAAAATCGGTATCCATCCTTGGGTCGGAAGCGTCCACTAGTAAAACTCAACTGGAATCTGGAACCAGTGTATGCTGGGGACTGAGATGATCGAGGGGAGGGCGGAGAAGAGGGGAACATTTGACCTGTGTTCCTGCATGCTGGACGAGCTGCTATGTTAGCTTCTTAGACGGAGATAAGGAGAAGAATCTGGGATACTGAATTTCTTTTTTGTGTGATCAGGGTCCAGAGATTTGTGGATTTCCACCTGATCCGAATCCCAATACCCCAGCGAAGTGTATTTCTATGCACTCGAGTAGCTTTGCCAAATATTGAGGGACGATCTAGGGCAATGGAGGGTCATGGGCTCGAGTACAATACTCAAGTAGAGTGAGATCTGGGGCAACAGGTGCGACTGTACTGCACTCGAGCAGTGTCTGGTGTCGCTGGTTCCTAAAGGTGTTAGTGTACGATAGTGTGGGGATTTTGCGATAGGATACAAGCAGCCCAAGCAGTCGGAGGGTGTGAGTAGTGTGCTCGAGCACCTCTCCCGCTAAACGAGTGTCCACGTGTCTAAACCTTTGTGGTTGTGGTTTCACGTGCCCATCCACGAGGCTGAGAGGGGGTGATAAAAACCCCTCTTTTCTTCAGCTCCCGGAATTACGCACAGTAAACTACCTATTCAAGGACTCATCCTCGATACTGTTCCAAATTGCGAGGGCATGTCACGGTTTCTCTATCATAATAATAACAACACCAATTCTTTTAATGTTAGAGGTTCTTATAATGTTACGAATAATTTTCATCCTGCCGATGAGCGGTCAGAAATCCTGGCCTGGCTATCTCCCTTGGACCCTCGGGGACGGCACCGGGATATTGGGGCCATGCGGGTTGAAAGTATAGGAGACTGGTTCCTGGAAACTCCCGAATTCAGGAGCTGGTGCGGCGACTGTGGGGAGGGTGGATCCGATGGTGCGGCATTGTTTTGTTGTGGCAATCTGGGCGTCGGCAAAACCTGTATCAGGTAAGACTAGCAATCCTCGAGTGGAGGAAGAGAGGTAGTGCTTACAAGCTACCATTAGTTCCCTCGTAATAGATGAATTGGTCCGTCGGGAGGAGACAGAAGGTGTTTCTATAGTTTGTTCCTACTACGAGTTCGATGCTCAGGGGGAGCTGTCACCCGTGGATGTACTGGGTTCCTTGTTGAAACAGCTTGTTACTGGATTGGGCTGTTTTCCACCAGAGATAGTCCGTGCTTTTAAACGCAGGAAGAATGCTCTAGGCGGCAAGCTGCTGGGGCTTGCTGAAATCGTTACGCTGTTTCGGGCTATCGCATCCACACGGCGCACTCTTATATGTATTGATGCACTCGACGAATGTGCATTGAGGGATCGACGTAAACTTCTCAGGTCACTTGGGGAGATCCTCCGGGAGTCGCCAGGGACTCGATTGTTCCTGACTGGAAGGCCCTATATCCGGGGTGAGATTGAAAGGCAGTTTGGTGGGACAGTGACCTTTGTAGCTATTGCTACCAACAGAGGTGATGTCATCAGATATCTCAGTGATAGACTGGATAGTGATCCAAATCCCTGCCGGATGGAAAAACCTCTGGAGGAAAGTATTGTGACGAGAGTTGCTGAATCAATGTCTGAAATGTATGTATAATCAACGCAGCGGGAAGTCTGCATTTTGGCATCCACTAATAGTTGTGCATCAAGATTCCGACTAGTTTCACTCGTTATTGGTGGAATCTTGCGAGAAAAAACCGTCCATCGCAGGGAAGAGCGACTTAAACAAATCCCGGATGGCTTAGACCTGGGAGATGTGTACGGTGCAACACTGGAACGGATAAGCGCGGAGGGTGATGAGAATTTGCATCT